GAACAGTTTTAAAGTTTCTCTTTCTTTCCCTCTTATATTGCAGTCCCTCACTCACTTTTTTAAAATTCAGTGTGAGAATTGAGCTCGAGCTCGAGGAGTTTGTAAATCTGGGCTGAAATGGTGGTCAGGGGCCATTCTCATACACATGCACAGTGGTTGCAGTGATGCAAACACAGGTATGGTGAAAAAAAGAGAGAACTATTCGAAGCAGGAAAAAAACAGCGTAATACTAATGCTTCAATTAACTGCTATTCTTTATAATATACTCAGATCAATAGGAGACAGAGATGTTAGTTAAAAATCAAGGGTTTTTATTATTATTTACAGCAGGGGTGGGGAACCTTTTTCCTTTAAATTTTTATAACATCCTCCGAGGGTCGTACAAATTATTGAACTCAACCTCTGCCTAAAAAAACTAAAATCACAGCCCATTCATTTCACCTTTCTTTCATGCTGTGCAAAGACAAAGCAACCTCTGAATCCAGATATCTCACCATGACTCACGTATGCATGCATGTGCACGGTGGTGGCGCCGCGCGACCACCAAAACAGAAAGATATGGACACAATATGTGTGCAAATGTATTGAGTATCCTATCCATGTGAACATGATTTAAGTGGGGGGGACCTAACCCACTCCAGGGGGGTCCGGGGGCATGCTCCCCTGGGAAGATTTTTTTAAATATTGAAGTTAAAAGCATCAATCTGGTGCACTTTGAGAGCAACATTAAGAGATCTATGGATACATCTCTCAACACCCATATGAAACAGAACTGTAAGCATATTTTTCTTTTTGGATATTTTTGCAAATCACTCCCCTTTTAAACTCTATACTTGTTATTTTTAACAACTTTTTTGTTACTGTCATATAGTATTTTATACCTGTTTTTCATTAAGTCTCATTAATAACTATAATGATCATATCAAGGTGTGCCTTAACCTCACTGAGCTGAGGTTATTTGAGCCTCTCAGGAGAGAGCTCTCTTCCACCTGGTTGTAGAAAAGCTCTTTAAATTCGTTAGCATAGCTAGCTAACCAGATGCTAATAACAACAGATCGCCACTGTGCTTACAACTAAAGACACAGCCACGCAAACACTGTGGCATGTGTACGGCTCCTTATGGGTATTGCAATATTTGAAGAGCTGGAGCGGCGTTCCGGTGCTCTCTGTCAGCACTCCTTTCAGACGAGGAACCTGTCCTTGGACAGGAAAAACAGGTACTCGCTTGTTTAATTAATTTTTGCGGTCTAGATTTATTCTTCTTTTTTGAAGTGAGAAGTTGTTGATTATAGCTCCCGGGTCCGTATAGGTCGGCGTCTGGGTCCGGATCCGGACCGCGGTCCGCCTGTTGCCGACCCCTGCCCTAGAAGCTCCGTAAAGGTACGTGTTGTGATGTCTGTATTTGCTTCCCCTGTCGCGAGTCCGGATCACTCAGTGATGATACTATATACCTAAAATAATATGTGGACCTCAGCTTTAATCGGATATATTGTATGTGCAGCTACGATAAGTAATAATTTATGGGTACTTTTATCTTGAGTTCTATGCCAATGTCCGTTAGCATTTTTCGCTAAGGGGTCATTTAGATGCTTCTATGAGACTTGTGTTTTGTTTTGGTAAAATGGTTTGTATCGTCAGTTAGCTGAGATTATTTCCGTTAATCTGGTATAACACATTAATAGGTTCTTAAATATTAAGATCCCCTGAGACTAGTGCTGCGTACCTGGACTCACATTCAGGTTCAGGTCCGGACTCAAGTCCAGAGGTTCAGGTTCAGGTCCGGACTTATAAGTCCGGACCTGAACCCATGGCTTATGTCAAGTTGTGTGAGTAACTAAAGTGAAACTTATTGTGAGCTAATTATCAATTAAAAATTAACTCATAATCAACTCAAATTCAAACTCGTCAGGTTTATTGTGCTCCCTTCCAACTTGTGTCTACATTTCTCTACAAAGTACAAATGTAAAAAAAAAACTTTTTGCCACTTAGTCTACAAATGACTTATGACAGCAACTACAGTGAACTACTACACAGTTCAAACATTTATTTCATTTACCAAACTAAAGTAACCAAACAGTCCCTGAGCTGACTGAGCCTAAATCCCTAAAACGTTGCTGAAAGGTAGAGTGTAGAGTAGACTATACGCATTACACTGTTACACACCTACTATACAGTATAGGCTACACTGTAGTGACTGTACAGTTAGAGTGTACTGTACTGTCTGTACACCATGTCTTTTCTACAACTCTACATGTGTACATTATACAGTACATACTACATAGTGATGTACATACATACTGTTAGAAATTAAAATCAATGTTGATATGGCGTAATTTAGAATTAAATACACTATTTAATTTAAATCAGTTTTATTCTGAAAAAACAGAAGTTCACACTATTAACTTAATACTTTTATACTGAAAATTATTCACTTCCAGTTAGCATTAGCATGTGGCGAAATGCTACGTTTTCAAACCGTGAATCGAAGGTGAAATGACATGTGATGTTGTACACTGAGCACACTGGGATTAGCACTCATTTATTGACGCTGAATAACGTTTATCAGGGAATGTTTAAATAACCACAGACACCAACCTGGGCTGACAGGAGATGGGGAGAGCGCCTCCTTTTGCAATTTCATTTGTACACCATCGCATCTTTTGTGTAATTAAATGCCGTTAACTTTTATAAGCTTCCCTTGACTCTTTTCAGTCTCTCCTGCCTTCAGGGAGGTTTTAGATGGTTTAGAACAGTGCTTCTCAAAGTGTGGTCCGCGGACCACTGGTGGTCCGTGAGCGCCCCCTAGTGGTCCGCGAGTATATTGGTAACATTTCACATTTGAAATAAATAAATACATTTGAGTTTTCCGCACTCTCGCGGGAATATCTCCGCAATGGAGCGAGGTTAAGTTTCACTTTCGATGGTATGATATAGCCCAGCGCAACACCTTCATCACACCTGCTGCCACTTGTTTGTACCATTTTCAGGCGATTTGTAATCTGTTCTAGAAAAACGATGCGATTTTGGATATTTGTGGAGTTAGGTGGTCCGCGAGTGTTATTTTATTGGTTAAGTGGTCCTTGGTGTGAAAAAGTTTGAGAAACACTGGTTTAGAACAAGAAGGAGAATATAAGTGCTAGTTTTTTTGCGAGTCCAAGTACCGGTTCCCAACGTTCCGGTTTTAACCGGACTTGAACCGAAACTTTTTACAAGTCCAGTACCGGTTTGGCGTACCGGTACGCAGCACTACCTGAGACACAGTGTCGTGAAAAAAAAAACTAGGGTCCCCGCCGACGGGGACCTTGGGGTTTAACAGGTTGGTCCTGGAGACGTTCCAAAATCAAAACAAATTGGATCTAAACTGATATAAAAATAATATTAAACAAAGGAAATGTAATGTGAACTTCGGTGCTTTATCAATAGGGTTTTGTTTATAATATTTACATTACTATTCAAGTTCAATAACTCAGTCATAACTTACAATGTGATGTAGGCCATGATAAAACTGAAGATTTCCAAGTATCCACTGGTGAAGCAGAGAGTTGCTTGCAATCCTTAAAGATAGGTGGGGTTAATTAGTCAATGTTATTTTATTTTCAAATAATAGTTCATGCAAACCTAGAGATTTTAATAAAAAAAATGATGGCTCATGGTGGCTACATAGTTGTTTTTCTCAGGAAAATAGTACATTGGGTTAGAAATGAGAACACACCAGTGCAGTATAGCAATGTATGGTACGTCATGGTCCCATGTTGCAAATAAGAGCTGCCTGCCTGTCACAACAGGTACCTCAGTGATCTGCAGTCATATAAGTGTTACCTGACCGCAGGTGTTTTATAATATTTTGGAAGTGAAGCTGCTCTAAGAGGGTAAGGTGTGCAGGTATGAGTGTGTGATTGGATAATTGTCATCCAATGAGTGAAACTAGAGATAATCTGGCAATCAGAGGAGTGGGTGACATAGGAATGTGTCTATCCTCTTGTAACCTCAGTCACATGCTGACTGGAAAATGAGAAGTGAGCAGGAGAAGGGCGTCGACAAACTTCAGAGGAGTGTCTCTGTTGCACCAATAGCACGGCAGAGACAGCTTTTCATGAAAAGGCTTTGTGTAATGCTGTGGAGACTTGGCCCGCCATGTGGTCAGAGGATGAAGTTTGCATATTTTCATGCATTAGTGAAAACAATGAATTAATCCCTGACTATAGGGTGGATCTACGGCTAGTCTGTCCAAATGTCAACTCAACTGTTTTTTTCCACAGCAAAGGGATGGTAGTTAAACGTTGTGTTTCTTCTTTTCACTGTGGGGATGGGAATAATTGGTTTGCTATTTATCCGTTGGCTGTTAAAGGACAGGTTCAACATGTGCTGTTATCAAAGTTAGAATAGGGAGTGCTTACTTTCTTTTTGATCTTCTCACTTTGTCCCTGGGCCTTTCTGTCAGTTTTTCATGCTTGGGTTGTCCCAGCGAGAAAACGGGCCAAACACAACAAAACTAAAAAGGTTGGATGAACAAAACATTGTATGAAAGAAACAGGCTCTTTTTATCATACAATCAGCCGTGGAATATAGTACCCAGTTTCCCTGGAATTACAAGGTTTTACCCTCCAGTCCCTTACTTTTTTTATATATAAAAAGAGATGAAGTAGTGCCATAGAAGAATGTTTGTAGCATTTTAGGTTGATTAACAACACATACTGTAGAAATATTGTGTATGGAAAATGACAATATGTCTATACAATTATAACACACTGCTATGCACTACTAATTGACAAACATTTAAATTAACTTATTATAAAAACAAAAGTTAAGAAGATAGGCCTGCAGAGTGGAAAACGCTGATTCCTACTGCCACCTGCTGAGGAGTTTCAGTAAAACTGAAAATATATTTTGCTGTAAGTATTCCAACCAATGTATGTTTCAGGATAGAACAGAAGTGATGATTATCTGGTATTTTTCTACATCAATTTGAGTGTTTAACAAAATATCAAGACACTAAGAAAATGTGTTCACACGTTATGGCCGTTTAATTCCACACGTCTAAATCCAGACACATTTGGACAGTATAAATGGCTTTTATATACAGTACGTCATTTTATACGTAAAGAGGTATGTCCTCAAAAATATTACAGTATCAAAAATAAAAGTATTTCAACAATCCAAAATAAATAAGAATACTGAAAACACAACAAAAGACAGAAGACACACAAACACATTGTCATGGCCACCTCCACTATTCTCTCCAAAAGAAGATATTCTCAAATGTTTTAAACACAAAATCGCTGATTTCACTGACTTTCCATTCACAGCATTTTACCAAAAAGTAAACATTTTGTTTATAAAAACTAGACATTTGTAAACACAAGAAATTCAGGACATGTGTAACTGCGGAGGAAGGTGGCGATGCTCTCTGTCAAATAATACTCACTCCTCTCTGACTTTAAATGTAAGGTATGTAAGTTTGAGAAACCATTAAGATATTCATTGCTATCTGGATGTTAAGAGCATTCCATGGAATATAACAAAAAGTGTATCTCGAGCCGGTTTCTCAAACTTACATACCCTACCTTTAACTTTCTGAAATCATCAACGTTGTTTTTAAGTGAACTTGAAGGTGTATGAACCATCCTTAACGTTATGAATGAGGGCATGAGGTAACAATCCAAAGTGAGTGAAATGTAGTAAACCCGAACCTGACAGTCGACTGCACCAACCTGCCTATTGTTGCGGACTGAATCTGTGCGGTTCCTTCTCGAAAACAGAAGCTGGATTGACATCTGGATGCTCATCTAGCTGGATCTCTGTGGACAGTACGTCATCCCAGAGCTCTCATTATGCACTGTCAACAGCGTTCATGCTTTGTAGGAGTGCAGAACTGCAAATTAAGTATTGCTCGTCTTTGCCTGAAGACCCGCTATGTCATCACAATTTTCTGTTCAGTCAGCGTTTTCCTCGTCTTTTTTCAATTTCCTTTCGAAGTCGAGTCTCCAGAGCTGCCCTCATGGCTGAATCCAATATGTTTTTCTCTGCTACACGCTGCACTAACCTCTCAGGCTTGTCCTCCTTTAGAAATAGAAAGGGAATTAGGACCAAAGCAAGAATAAATCACAATGCCAGAATAATAAACAGTGATCTGCATGTACCTTGTGCACAAGGAATGAGGTAAGGGTACCAGAGTCCGCCTGGTAGTCGAGCCAAAAGAGTTCAGTGCCATGGGTCTCTGTTTCTGTGCTGGACCCGCTCTCATTGGACTCCTCTGCCTCAGCACCGGCCCCTGGATCTGAATCATCTGGGAAATGAGCAGACAAGTATATTATTGACTGGATTCAGTGTTGGAAATAAACACAGCAAAGTGCCTTAACTTACGTCTGCGTCGAGGATCGTACACCTGGATATCAGGTCGACGGGGTCGTCTAGGGGTCGTGGTATTCCTCCGCCGCTGGAGCTCTTTTGCCTCCTGCACCTCTTTGGCTTGCTTCACCGATTTATCATAGTCATCTCTTGAAGAGCCAAGAAATCAACATTATTTAATTTGAATGGAAGTTGTGGTTTTTACATTCTTAAGATCATTGATTACATAACTTTAAAAATGGGACATACTCACTAACCAATAGAGAAAACAAGTATAGAAGGAAATCTCAGGCAAGGGTTAAACAACAGATATGAGGTACAGGTACAATGAACGTGTATGTGGATGGTTGATACTTAATGTTACCAGTGATAACAGTGTTGTTGTTGTTGTTGTTGTTGTTGTTACAACAGCTAGCTATATGTTGTTTTGTCTCCAGTGTCCTAAACTATTATTCTACTCTGCTTCTTCTTGTACTATTAGTATTGTATGTTTTATGTATTATGTTGCATTGTTGGAGGAGCTTGGGACTTAATTTTGTCATTGCCATATCTACACTGTAGGTACTGTGCATATAACATAAAGCCTTTGAATCTTTGAATTATATACCTAGGATGACTCTAGCCATGCGCCTGAAGGACTTATTTGTATATGTTCAGGTTGAGTGTAGAGGAACCTCCCCTTACAACGACAGTAACTTCTATAACATCCTCTAACTTCTATTTAACGTGTGCGGTTGTGGCTCCAGATATGGTGGCTAAATAGTGAAAGCTTGTTTGTTAGCTTCTAGCATTAGCTTTTGGGAAATCACCTAGCAATCTGGTTCCTCCGGATATGGTGCAGGAAGCCGTGGCTCATATCCAAGCGCCCAGACCGTTTGTATTTCAGCTCGTCCAATTCATCTTCTCCTAAAATATCCATTTCAACAAAATGTTCCAAAGCGGTGATAATATTTGTGAGATAATAAACGTTAAGGATTGCAACAAGTCTCAGGCAGATCCACAGACATGACAAAAAGCTACATGCTAGCTAACGGTAAATCGTTGTCCAACTAAAACATTCCCCGAGTTTACAATTTAATAATAGCTCGAAAATAAACATTGTTTTAAAGAGACATTTTCTGAAGCACAATAAATCAGAAATTGAATGTGAATATATATATATATATATATATATAAAATCAAGTTATGCTTTCAGAAAATCTGCAAATTAATATATTTGTATTGCAGTGATGTAAAGTAAAGTAGATTTACTCAAGTACTGTGTAGGTACAGTACTTTACTTGACTATCTACATTTTCTGCTACTTTGTACTTCTACTCCACTACAATTCAGAGATAATTATTGTACTTTTACTCCACTACATTTATTTAATACCTCCAGTTACTTTACACATTATGAAAAATGTTATCAAACATGATCAACACTTAAATAAGAATTTAGTAAGTTACACCTAGTAAATCCATAAATTAGACCGCAGTAAATAAAATAATACAAATGAGTTCCACATTTACCAGCTATGATAAACATATTAATAATTATAATCAAAACATATATTATATTATTCTGAAAATGGCCAATCTGCATAATGAGTACTTTACAACTTTTACTTTTGGTACTTTAAGTATATTCTGATGTCAGCTATGTTGTACTTTTACTTGAGTAACATTTTGAATGCAGGACTTTAACTAGAGTATTCCTACACTCTGGTACTTCTACTTTTTACTACTAAGTACAATCTCCAAGTACTTTTGGCACCTGTGTGGTATTGGTATTGAGCAACTAAGGGGCAATAATGCTGGCCTCTCCGTGTTAGTTCTTGGTTGGCCATTTGCGACGTACAACCACCGCGAGTTTCGACCATCGCGCACGGTGCTGCTCATTCATCTTCTCCAAATAAAGTTGTGCCTTCTCTGTTGTTTTGACATTAAGCTCCGAAGGAAACTGCCATGATGGTTTCTATGAAGCGAGAAAGAGAGGCTGAAGTGGACGATGATGATGAGGACGACGAAGACATAGGTACGTTTATTTACTTCTACGTTTGGTTAGCATGAAGCTAGCTAGTGCTACTAGAAAGTGCGTTTGATTGTATTCACTAGTTTCAGTCACACACAGGCAGGTCAACAAGAACCACTGCAGTATAGTTTTCACTGGGTAAAGAAAGATACCACCCTTCGGATTTATTCATCATTACTAGTGTGCAAGTTGATCATCTCATAACAACCAAAAGGCTAGGTCAGTTAGCATGTTTGGCTAACGTGAGATTACATTAAACTGTTTGAACCATAGACTGGTTTGAACATTGTTTTGTTTTACTTCCGGTTGCAGTGGCAGCCAAAGTAGGCCGAGGACGTGCAGCAGAAGACCGGAGAAGCCGCCACTGTCCTTACCTCGACACTATAAACAGGTAAGATATAGTTGAATGTGCATAGCTAATGTTAGTGCTACATGCTAGTTAGCCCCGTCCTCCTCTATTGCTCGACAGCTGATTCCCAGTCTTGTCTATGTATCCATCAGGAGTGTGCTGGACTTTGACTTTGAGAAACTGTGCTCCATATCACTCTCCCACATCAATGTCTACGCCTGCCTTATATGTGGGAAATACTTTCAAGGTAAGTGAGGGATCCAACATTAAACAAGGAATGAAACACCTTGTTGTGCTAAGACTGATTCACTCATGTTGTGCTTGTATCCCTGCAGGTAGAGGTTTGAAGTCTCATGCTTACACGCACAGTGTGCAGTTTACCCATCATGTGTTCCTGAATCTGCACACTCTCAAGTTTTACTGTCTGCCAGACAACTACGAGATCATTGACTCCTCACTAGAAGACATCACGGTAAGTTAAGTGTAACAGGCATGTCAATATTTTACTCATGTTAAGCACCATCTTAACACGAGTAAAATATGACTTTGCATATTATAAATTCATCCAGGATTGAGAGTTCATGTAGTATTCAGAAACATTACATGCCAAAAACATACCCGATGGCTATACTTATTATTATTATTGTTATACAACTGTATATTAGTTAATAAGAGTGTTTCATATGGATATATTTCAAATGTGATCCGATGGTGTTTTACTATAGCCACTATTCATATTGATTTTGAATGAGTTGGCATAATACTATGACAGGATAATATAAGTTAGATACTGTTTTAACCACCAAAGGTCATTCTCAAAGTGTCACAGTGTCAATAAGTAACACCAATTCCATACTGTACAAACTGCACTTTGTTGTTAGTAATCTGTTGACACTTTCTTTACAGTATGTGCTGAAACCAACTTTCACCAAGCAGCACATTGGAGGGCTGGACAAGCAGGGTAAACTGTACCGAGCCTACGATGGTACGACCTACCTGCCTGGCATCGTAGGGCTCAACAACATTAAAGCCAACGACTACGCCAATGTGGTTTTACAGGTACGATTAACTGTCTCCCTGGACCATCAATGGACATGGTCATTCACTTCTCTAAATAATCACAACCATGTCACGTTTGCCGTTCCCCCCCCTAGGCTTTTTCCAATGTTCCACCGTTGCGAAACTACTTCCTTGAGGAGGAAAACTACATGGGGATCCGGAGACCACCGGGTGACATCATGTTCCTCTTGGTGCAGAGGTTCGGTGAGCTGATGCGCAAACTTTGGAATCCGAGAAACTTCAAGGCTCATGTCTCTCCACATGAGATGCTGCAAGCTGTTGTGCTGTGCAGCAAGAAGAACTTTCAAATCACCAAACAAGGTAAGGCTTGAGTTTCCAGAAGAAGTACTGCACATCTTAATAAGACTTTTAGCACGTGTTGCTCTATAGAGATTACATTGTGATTCTGATTGATTGTCTTCTGTTCTGCAGGAGATGCTGTGGACTTCATGACGTGGTTCTTGAATGCTCTGCATGGTGCTCTGGGAGGCACAAAGAAAAAAACATGTGAGTCAGAAGAGGATAATCAAAGGGGTTAATAAATGCAAAATGTGTCTTTAATGCAATCATCAGAAAGAGGTTTGGCAAAAAAAAAAGAAGAAAGTTTTACATCAATTGTGAATGTTACTTTTCTCTAAGGTTGAATTTACCTTTAGAGTTAGCTTTAGCATGAAACATTTTACTTCAGTTATTGACTGTTGCATATATGAAAATAAACCGGTGTCCTCATTTATCTTTCTGCCCTCTCAGCAAGCATCACAAAAGCGTTTCAAGGCTCCATGCGGATCTTTTCAAAGAAACTTCCACACCCAGATTGTGTGAGTTTCATTATCAAAACATGAATTGACATCTTGAATGTGAATGGTTTTATAAAGAATAGTCCATGCTTATTCAAAAATTATCCGAGCAGTTTTTGCAAATAGTATTATGTTTAGAAAGCCATGGTTTCCTTCTCATTGTTTTACTTTGATTTGCCAGACACCAGAAGAGAAAGAGGCGTTGCTTGTGACGGAGGAGTACCAGGAGCAGATGTCAGAGTCCACCTTCCTGTTTCTGACCCTTGACCTCCCAACAGCTCCACTGTACAAGGATGAGAAGGAGCAGCTCATTATCCCACAGGTTCCCCTCTTCAACATCCTGGGGAAGTTCAATGGCAGCACGGAGAAGGTACAGTTAAATAATAATAATAATAGACTTTAAATAATAAGTGCAAAAATGAAACGAGTGAGGAAAAAACGATTAAGAGAAATGTTGCGATGCAGTAATCTTACCTGAAATGCTTTGGCGTTGATTACGTTTTTTTAGCCAAAAACTGGATTATTAAATGTTGACATGTTACAACTAGTGTTAAAGGTGCGGAAAAAATAATTGGGCAACTACTAATTTAGATGGATACAAAACCATATCATTGCACAATTTGGCCTAATGCACTATTTAAAATTGCACACACAGTTTAACTATTGCGATAATCCAAATTGGCACATACCTGTTCTCCTCAACTTGATGCTGTTTGTTTGCTTTGGCTCTGCCAAGCATCCAACCATGTGTTTGTGTTGTTTTGATGTTTGGCAACCCTGTCAGACAAAGGCTTGAGCTTCTGAAAGCATGTTCTTGACCATGTACCTCCAAATAACACAGACACAGAATAAAAAAGAGCATCTTCTCTGATAAGATAGAAGAAAAAAAAGTCCTGAGGCCGGTCGGGACCACGGTGTTTAATGTTGAAGTTTTGTTTCAAAATGCAGATTTTCAGATGTGTACTGTAGAAAATAATTCCTAGTGTCCAGCTTTACTGTAAAACAAACCTAACCACTAGAAAATTCAACTGTTCGTTGAAAACGGCAACATTTGGGCACCAGAGGCCTGTACTACGAAGCCGGTTCAACCTAATCTGGATATGTTTGAGTTAGCCGGTTGGCCTAACCCAAAACATACGCGCTCTCGCTAAGCGGTCCTACGATGCTGGTTATCAAGTGTATCGCTCAAGCCAGCCGTGTCCTATCTAGTTAGGTGCGCGTTCACATGAAAGGGGTGGTATCTGGAGCATTCGACCTATCACAAACATGGACAAGCGTACTGACAGCGCAGCGCGTCAACTATAATATTAGACATATGAAGAAGTTAAACTTTAAACATCCATGACTTAAACACTTTATCCAGGATCAAAGCCACAGAGCTGCACCAGCAAGGTGAATACAGCTGGTAAAAGAAAAAGTGTTTGAATGCGTACATTAACAGGTTTATGATATCACTGCTCCGTCTAAGACACGATCTGACTTTAATTACATTTGTCTCGAGTGTTTCGTCAACTTAATGTGTTGCTTAAAATAATATTTCTGCATACAGTATGTGACACTGTGAGTGTTGCACGGCCAGATACGGCTCAGCTGACTCAGATAAGGAAATATATGATACATTATGAAGTGATATGCCGCGGACTGTACTTAATGTTACTCTGATCCGGTTACTTATGTTGTGGCAGATATTTAAGTAAGCTTTCTTAACGCTAATGTTATAATAGTCAGATTGCTCTGAAGATGGGAGGTGATATTCTATTAATGTTCACGTTCACACAGTCGGTGATTTTTGCCGGCCGTCTTTCCTGCAACGGCAGCTTTTCTGTATTTCCTTTCTCCTGTAATATGACTTGATCGCTTTAAACTCCGCACACTGAGCTCTGATTGGTCAGCAGGCAGTGCTTTCACTGAGTTGAGCTCTTAGCCTGCAACCTAACCTGCTCTGGGGCAGGCTAGCCGCTCAGCATAAGTTACCATGGAGATCTAGCCCGCTAAAAAGAGAACCAGCGTCGTAGGACCGGAAACCCAGAGTTTTCCCTGAAGTTAGCCGCCAAGCGAAAATCCGGCTTCATAGTACAGGCCTCTGGCAATCAGCCCCACATCAAATCTGTACCTTCCGCTTTCTTATATTTTATTTCCATAACACTCTAAACGTTTGTGCATGCTCTCCTGTCTCATCTACATTCAGGAGTACAAAACCTACAAAGAGAATTTCCTCAAAAGGTTCCAGTTGACCAAACTGCCTCCGTACCTCGTCTTTTGCATCAAAAGATTCACCAAGAACAACTTCTTCGTGGAGAAGAACCCCACAATCGTCAACTTCCCCATCACGTAAGTGCTGTGGATATATATCTGCAGGATCTAAAATGTGTGTTGATAATAGTTTTAATAATATGTTGTCCCCATTATGACTTTGCACCTGTTCATGTTGTCCCTTTGTATTCTTTTCAACAGGAATGTAGACCTTCGTGAGTACTTGACAGAAGAAGCTCAAGTGACAGAGAAAAACACAACATATGACCTCGTCGCCAACGTGGTGCATGATGGGAAACCAACCGAGGGAGCATACAGAATACATGTTCTGCATCATGTGGGTTACAGCCAGATATTTCAGAAATGACTTGTACAAACAACATAAAAAGACATATTTTGACATAGCCAGTGTTGTGTTGTTGTACAGCTATGTGTAAATAATATCTTTTGTTTTATCAGGGAACTGGGAAGTGGTATGAGATGCAGGACCTGCAGGTGACCGACATTCTCCCCCAGATGATCACACTGTCCGAGGCCTACATCCAGGCAAGTCACTTTTCTATGAATTCTCGGAAATGGGGCTGGGTGCAATGGAGAAAATCACCATGTTTTCCCCCAAGTACCCATGGCGATGTTGGAAAGATATTGTAGACTTCACGTGCTGTGGAGTGCTTTAACAAAACATTTACACTGACATTTTTTATAAATATTCATCAGTATTTTGAAGGAAATAACTAAATCGGTAAAGGCAAAAAATAGAAAAGTTGTGCAAATTACATTACTGTAGTGCAGCCTATTAAACACCTTGTCCAGATTAAAGTATTCAAAATCTAAAAAAAAAAATATATATATTTTTTACATCACAATCTTGCTAGAATATGAATCTATTGCCTAATGTAAATGCTGCTGGGCCTTGGCTCCATATGTTTCAGAGTGACATGAAATATTCAGCACCTCTCACCTGAAGGCACTCGCAGCACAATAAATGAATAATTGTGTATGTTTTAAACGGAGCGCTACTGTAAAACGGACAGTTGCCGCTTCTGATCATTTAAAATACTATATAGCAGTTTTTTCAGTGTTGATTTTGCTAATAAACTTAATGGAGGACTGAATACGTGTAATTTGTGGTTAACGATTCAGATAATGAGGACAAAATGATAACGATCTAAGCTTTTTCTTTAGATCGTTATCATTTTGTCATTATCTGAACCGTTAAACAGAAAAAGCTTTTTCTGTTTTAACTGAAATGTCCTTTTTTTCTCCTTTCAGATCTGGAAGAGACAGGAGAGTGACACGGACACAAACAACCACACGGCGGTGTAAGTGAGACCACATTCTCAACATGGCCAGAAGGAAACTGGGTATTTAACGGATAAAACAACAACATGACAGAAATGCGGCTAAAGAGACTTTTTCTCTAAATAAATGTATGTTTCCTGTGTTTTTTTCACAGTTTTATGTTTTTACTATGTGGAAGTTTCCAAATAAACAAACTTCAGGACATATTTGTGTGTTGAATTTTAATGACAAACCGTTGGATTTTGAATTAATTTGAGGACTTTGTCATTGATATGCAGTTATTAGCACCAAGCATCAGAACAGCATCAAGATAACAGAAAAAGCAGTTTTGTTCTAAAATCATAATGAGAGCTTATTCTATGTAAGGAACTTTATATTTGCAGTTAACACATTCATAATGACATATTTAAAATGCAGAATAGTACTGTTCACCAAACCGTTCACCACTGCAGAAACCGATGTTCAGACGGAATCCCAGCCTTGTGGCGGTTCATGCAAACGGTGCCATTTGATGTTGAATATATGGCTCATTGACTGAAGCAATGTATGAGACGGATGATTTCTCAGCAAAAGTAAAAAAATAAGTTTAGCGCATTACATTAATAAATGTTTAAGAGATGATCAGTGCAATATATTTGTAAACAGAAAGCAGATCTGCAGTTTGGTTCACTCCTTCCACATGAACTTCTCACAGTACGCCTGGTTCTGCAAATAAAAAACAGACATGGGAAGTGAAACCATTTTTACCATTCCAATAACTCCCTTCGTACTTTTGAACTGTGCTTGAGTTGTCAATCGTCACCCAGCATAGCCAAAAACCCATGTGTGCTTAAATGGTGTCTTTCAAAGAAAATATTTGTAATGGCATCTTCAACCAATTTCTAATTCCTCCACATTTCTGAAAGACAAATGAATACTTTGACTGATTTTCAGTTTTGACTAAACGTCAACCGACCTCATGCGTCCCGTGTCTTCACCCTGCATTAAGACAGTGATGGTTGTACGGTATCACGGGACTACTATAAATATGGTATTACTTATTCACCATTGTCCTCAACCGTGAAAACAAAATGCTTAAATCTCTACAAAAGAGAGGCTGGGTACAGCGGACTCAAAATAAAAGTAAGATCTGCAGGAAGTTAAGATCAGGTTTGATGGTTGTAAAATATCCTTCTCAGTTTTATGTGACTTTTTAGTGGCAGTTGCTGCAAGCATTGTTACATAGAAAAACAATCCGCATGTTGTGATTTATTTAAATGTGCCTTACCCCACACTTTTGAGCAGTCTGAATGTCCTTGCACCAGTACGTCGGTCCCCAGGTACAACGATTCTTTCCCAGCGGCTCCAACTTCTTTGAAGCAACACACAGATCGGCTCTCTGCAGACGGGACAAAAAATCCAAAGGAAATCAACCAGACTGAAGAATATGTCTTTGTAAGTATTCAAGTTGCTACCACGTGTTCATGGTGGGTGTTGCGTGGACCAGGGCTCCTCATACTGTTGTAAATGATATTAGTAAAACCACTTATATGTCTACCAGTGATGGGAATAGATGTCAGTAAATGTGCTTATTTCAACCCGAGTGAAGGTCTGACGGCACAACTGCTTCACCATTTATTGATAACAAATCCTTTTGGATCTGTAACACCGTGTGAAGACATTTAAATATGAAATGTTAGACATGTCTTTGAAAAAGAGCTTCTTACTTCACAAGCGTCCATCTGGTTTCCCAAAACCTTCTGCAGTTGAGAGCTGTAGGTTTTGGTGAAGGATTCACACTGAAAAGAGCATGACAGTTGAGAAATTACAAATATTCCGTTTTTTAAACATCCTGATTGATATCTGCTTAACAAACCCATTTAATGAAACTCAAATGTAAGTAATAAACAACGTGAGGCCCAACACTCTTAGTTATCGTGATCCATGACATCGTTTTTAGTTGTGAGCAGTATTTGTGTTAGTGGGAGCTGAGGGTCAGACCTTCGGGATGGCGTTAGGGTGATGGACACACACAGACTGGAGGAAAGAGGAAGCCAGATGTTCGGTGGAGTTGAGTCCCAGGTGAAGTCGGCTGAGCACCGCCAGCGTGCGGCACGACTCACAATCAGAGGGGGGGGGGCAACTCTGGGGAATCAGTGGAGCGTTAAACTCGGAAGTAGAGGTGTTGGTTTCAGCTCAAACCAAAAAGAAGGCCAAATGTATTCATCATGTGACTGACCTGAAACAGGCTGCTCCTCGAACAAACACACATGCAAAAGAGTACATATGGTGTGAGGGGCAGCGGACGATAGGAGGAACTCCACTATCAGCACTCCATATTTCTCGACAAAATCGTCACATTGGTCCTTGTAGCTGTGTGGTATGAGATCACAGACCTCAGCCATGAGCTTTTGCAAAGCATCCTGCAGGGCGACACAGATATGTAACATGATGCCATTTGTTGTTGTGTCTGCAGGACAGAGTGATATTAAAAAAACCAACATTCACCTCAGTCATATTTGTAGGCAACAGGGTCTCCAGTTTCTTCACGAGAAAGATACACAGGGTGCAAGCTGGGTTGAACAGCTTCGAGAGAGAGGATTAACTGATTAGGACATTTATAGTATGGAAATATCAAGCACAAGTTTCATTTCTACTTGTATTTTAATATCTGCTTCTGCTTTCTCACACTCACAGAGATGTCGGAGGCTGTGCCGATAGCAAAGCTGGATGTGTCTTTGTTGGTGTCATGGTTAGGGAGTTTGAGCACTTCCTCCTCCTTGTGGGCAGCACACAGTCCAAACACCATACAGGTCTTTGCTGGTTTCTACATAAACACATTAGAAGTTGATCATTGGTTGTTCATTATAACCCTTTAAAGAAGCCTATCTAGAGGGGGAACTCACCAGGTGGCCAGGTGTTTGCTGCAGGACTTTGGGCAAATACATCTTCACCTGTGACTCACACTCTGATGCCTGCTCTCTTGGCAGGCGTTGGCACAGAGCATGTAAGGTTTCATAGAGATTCTCCTGCAAAAGAAAAGTAGTTAATGCAGCGTCTATGTTGTGGCGGTATTTCTAGGTTACTACTCTGCAAAGTACACAAGCAATCATGTGCAAGATAGCTTGACAGATGTATACTTTTGTGATCTTGACGTTCAAATATTGGAATTTGTCTCATTAAATGTGTGCTTACAACATGCAATGACCACCTTTAGAGATGTTCATTTAAAGGTTGACATTTTAGAGGCATTACAAGGATCCCAGTTATCTGCAAGTTTCCAGAATTCCTCAAATACTGGTCAGTCAAGTAAAGTTAGGTGAAACTGTGGTGTGTGATTCACAAACAACCTCACCTTGGTAGTTCTGCTGGAAATCATGTTGGCGGACAGATGGATGACCTGGCTGCACTCTGAACACATATCTAACGTCTAATAGGGAGAAGCCACAGTGACACACGTTAGTTACTAAGGACATTCATAACAGCCACATTTCAGAGTTAATGTAAAAAAAAAAAACTAATTCATCACCTCTAATGAATAAAAAGCATCTCATTTTAAAATGTATGTGCAGGAGCTCCAACAAATAAATACATATGTTTAAGTACAGTAGGTCGATGTGTAATCCATTTTAAATTAACAATTGGTATGTTGGCCTTTTTAAACATTTGACAAAACGGTGATAATACAGGAAATGAATGTCAGGCTCACCAGAGATTTCTGTTTAATGAATGACAAAGGATCTGTGATGAACCGGGAGTCTCCTTTAAAACAGAAACATAAAATATTCATACAGGGAAGGGAAGAGAAATAGAAGGAACGACCATGTTTTAAAAAGGTACCAAAAAGAGAAATAGTAAATCAAAATACAAATCCATGTTCTTTTGCATGCAAGTGCTCGAAGCTCAAGTGTCATAGCAAAAGCACCAGCATAACAAACCTGATATTTCACAACAGATGTAATGGCGACCGACAGCCAGGTGACAGACAGTGATGCAGACATGAATAAAGTCATTGCCGGTAAATGCTCTTCTTACCGGTCCACAGAGTCACGGAGAGGACCAGCAGGGTGAAGACAGACGGTGACATGATGTAGAGAAGTCTCAGCGATGTGAGGCAATCAGGTGATTTTATAATGACATCAGTGCGCATTTATTTGTCGGATTTAACAGCGGATGGATATCACTGTTGTGTGCTTTACCGCCACCGTTGGTTTCGGAGTGTCATGATTCCTGTTTATAAAAATATAATATAAAGGTGCGGACTGCGGAGGGTTACTTGCAAAATATAATCCGGTACAATTACTAGTCAGGGTGGGCCCAGTAGTTCAACATTTTTAATCCCTATCTGATCGGATCAGATTTGGATTTTTGGTAGTTCAAAACAAAAAAAACAGGATTAGGATCACTTTGATATCCGATCAGATCAGGAAATCAAATCCTAGTTTTAATCTGGATCAAATCTTCAAAACGGGTAGTTCAAACCGACAACACAGGATTGGGAACTGGATTATTTTGATCCCACCAGAGGGGTGGATTTCCAGTGGATTACCAGAGCAAAATGTACTGTACAATTTATTTAGAAATATGTTTCAATATAAATAAAATGGCAACGTTTGTTAACTGAATTAATACACAATTTTTAGCCTTCATGGCAAATCTATTTTATTTTTCATTTTTTTGGTCACGTTTGTGGTGGCCTATTTTGTTTTCAACCAAATGTTGATGACATAAATGTGTATGCTCATAAAATGATCACAACAAAGATTGTCAATCACAAATGTAATTTAGATTAAAGAAAAAATATCTTCAACAAAAAAAAGTCTATCATCTGTCATCACCTTTCAAAAGTAATTGCGGACAATAGATGTGGTCTCTTGTCTTCCTTGTATTATTTTTCATATCCACTAGATGGAGATCGGTAGGATTAAAGCACTGATATTCAGGATCTAGTCATCTTGAAAAGTCTGAATCTGGATCAGGGTGATCCTATCCTGAATTGCTTTGAAATACTGGAACAAAATCTGGCCGAATTGTCTGATCCTGGATCTCAACAAATGGGATTTCAAAATATGATCGGATCTGATTGAGATTAAAAGTTTTGAACTACTGGGACCTGTTAACTCATTTATTCAGTAACCTAATCTGAGTATCAAAATATATAAATAGGGCCTATTGTCATATCATTACTTGTCGTAACTTTTGGATTACCTCAATATCAAATGCAATG